GCTTAACAAAATAATGAACTGCTGATGAAAATCATGAGTTACATCCAATTGGTTCTACACCATTACCTGAAGTAAATGATACTGCATTGCTTGAAACAAATATATTATCAAGACAAAGACATGGACGTGGACACGAATTTGGACGTGCGCGTGGAATAAATCTTGGACGAAATAATCAACAAAACCATCATCAATAAGACAATAATTTCAAAAAACACAAAGCAAACGAAAGTAACACGTCTAAAAAGAAGGATGAAGAAAGTTATGTTAAATGTGGAATGAAAGAGCATTGGGCACGTACATGTCGTACGGCAAAACAATTTGTGGATCTTTACCAAAAATCAATTGAGAGAAAGAAAAAAGTTGACAAATGTTGCTGACAACAATGGTCCAATTGATGTAACTCAATTGGATGTCTCGGATTTCTTTACTGATCTAAATGAAAGTATTGACCATTTGATTGGGGGTGGTGTGATGGAAGATATAAATTAATTTACTTTCTAGTATTTTCTTTCGTTTTATCTTTCGTTTTAATAATTCAATTTGAAATATATTCTTACTTTTTGCAAAAAATTGAAACTTTATTAAGCATCGTTAATTTTATAATATTGAATTATGTTTACTCTTTTAAATTTAAATTCAATTTTTTTAAAAAATATATCTATGTTCTTATATATTCACGATAAATTGCTTGATAGTGCAACTGCACACACTATTTTTCAAGATAAAAAATATTTTTTGGAGTTAATATTAGGAGAAAATAATGTTAATACGATATTAGGTGCATCGAATATCGTTGAAAGCTCTGGAAGAACTTTTATTATTTTACCAAATAATACAAAATTATATATTGACGATACACTTTTTTCTAGCAAATTTAGAAGAAATTTGCTTAGTTTTAAAGATATTCGCTGTAATGGATATTACATTGAGACAATATAAGAAAATAATGTTGAATATTTTTGCATAACTTCTTTTGTATCTGGTCAGAAGCAGATAAAAGAAAATTTTCATGTACTCCCATTTGACATGTATTATACATTTATAGAAATGATCGATCAAATATTATCACGAACCAGAAGTTCGTTGATCCAAAAAATTTTGAGAATTGCTACTGGTACATCAGCCTTTACATCAAGGGATCCATAATTGCTGACGTGGCGATATTTTCACTATATATTGACTGAAAATTTGAAATGTTGCAGATTTTATAAAACACACCCTAACCTATCTATCCACTTCATTTTCCCGTAACCAAACCTTTCAACCTTTCATTCGCACAAAAATCAGCTCCGCCCTTTCTCTCCAAGTGCAGCCGTCGACGGTGAGAAACTTTGGTTTTAGGAAGATCTCCAACAGCATGAAGGCTTCGTCGACGTCTGTGCGGCTGCAAGCGAACCCGTCGTTCACCCGAAAACTCAAAACGGCCCTTTCTCTTGCTGTCGACGGAACAGAAATTTGGGGAACCCAGATCTCCTACAGGGCGAAGGCTTCGAAGGAGTGCGTGCTGCAAGCATTTTGTTCAGGCTGAGGAACGATTTGTAGATCTGCAATTGTTTTGAACCCCCTTTTTAGTGTGATTTTTTGTTCAGGCTGAGGAACGATTTTGATTATGTATGTTCTTCGTTGGTGTTCAGATGATGGCTGAGGAAATNCTTCCAATGTTAATGCTGCAATAATAGCTTGTGAATTTTTTTCTTGACAAGGTCAATTGTTGCATGTAGAAGATCAAGTGATTCTGCTGAAAATCAGGAGAATAATTCCAGTGAAGATCCTGCTGAAGACCCGAAAATTAAGTCTGTCAATTAAGCAATTATACCACGAGATTGATGCTGATATTTAGAGATAATTGTATAGCTGTACACACACTTAAATTATGTTCACGTGTTGCAAATATTTTAGGAAACCTGTTACAATTACTATTATATATACTGCTGCAACTTCTCTGTAATTTGTATCAATAAAGAATTCATTCAAATATTCTCTATTGTGTATTCTTTTATACTGCAAAATAATTAGAGATTGTATTTAGCAACTTTTATGGCAAATAAAGTTGAATGGCTAGTTTTTGTGTCCAGCACTTTGACATGTTGATTATACACTAAATGATGCTTATATGGAGTGTTTTTCATTTGGATTCTAGTTAACTTTGAACAATTCAACCACTGCGTATAGTCATTGACAGCCATTTGCATGGCAAATCCAACTTTGAACAATTCAACCACTGAGTGCAGTTGCATTTGAATGGCACTTCACCAGCATCAAAAGTTTGGTTGTCATCATTTAAATGGTATAAACTGCTAACTGCATTTTATTTATTCTTCTCAAATAGCTATGAGTAAATTACGGCAAAAAATTAACCATAAAACATAAAAGTAAAAATAATTGAAGCAAAATGTAATCACCTAAATTTACAACAGAACATATCAATAACCAGTATTAGAAAAGGAGGCATTATTAGGAGTGGAAGAAGATGTGCTCAATTGCTGCCCAGGCCCCCGAATGAACCTCCAAATATGAAAAAGAAGTTGGCATCAACAGCCAGCAAAAATCTTCTGTGCACTCCAATTAATTCACTTATAAGATTATAACTTGGCTTAATGTTTAATAGTTTAACTAGACCGAAGCCAGCAAGAACAGATTTGCAGAGATATAAACCAGCAGAACATAGACTGAAACCAGCAAGAACATATTTGCAGAAACAGATTTACAACAGCAGCAATACAGCAAGAACAGATGCAGAGAAACCAGCAAGAATAATAAACCAACAGAAAGTTAAACCAGCAGAAGGAAAAATAGTGATTAAACCAGCAGAAAGTTTACAACTCTATCTGACTTAGAGGTTTTCATATCAGAATTACAATCCAGCCAATCAAAAGATCTCACAAATCTGTCAAAAAATTAAGACAAGTTGTCTCCAAAAAATCTCAAACGCTTGAGGTGGTGGAGGAGATGATATGCTCCTCACGTGATCCTCCTCTGCTAGTAAGTTCATTCACAGAGGCAGCTGCCTGTCGAAGGAACCCTGCCTTCTTCATCTCCCCTGCATTTGGGTTTGAGCTTTGAGAATTTAGGAAGGATTCGAGTTCTGCTATTAACATGTTCATCTGAGAATACTTCTCTTCAAGCATCACCTTTACATCGACTAGCTTCATCTGGACTCGTTCTTCGTGCCAGACCTCAGCCATCTGCAACATTTTCCTCTCTTCTTCCACCTCCTCTAGGAATTTCATCGATTCTCTTCTCACTGCTCCGACTTCAGCTTTGTCCTCTCCAATTTCCTTGGCTAGTTCATCACAGACTTCCTCTATCAACTCTCGGGCCTCTCTCTTTCTCATAATCATGCACATAGCGCTTAGCTGATAACTTGGCATCAGTTAACTCATTGAGCAACTTAGAATTCACCATTTCCAGCCTTTGACGGTTTTTCTTCTCTCTGCCCAAGTCAGTTTTTTTTTACAAGTAAATTTGAGTATGTCTAAGTTATGGTAAGCAAAAATTGTACAGATGCAAAGGCTGAACAGAAAATATAAGCAAGCATCTAACATGGTGCCGGGCGAATCACATTATACAAGATAAGGTTGCTAGCAGTTTAGATCATAGTCATTTTGGAATAACAAAACACTCCATATATCTATCAGAAAAACTTTACGGGACCCAACATTATACAAGATAAGGTTGCTAGCAGTTTTGATCATAGTCATTTTTGAATAACAAAACACTCCATATATCTAGCAGAAAAACTTTACTGGACCCAAAGTGCTATCACACACACCTCAAATAAAGAACAAATATTATGTGCAAATTTAATACTGCTATTAAAGGCAAATGCAACAATAAGAATGCCTAAGGATTCTCATACTGGGAATCAATAATTTAGGTGAAGTTGAAATTAACAGGACTGTAATTAAACCATAATTTGTACTTGTCTTTTTAAGTTCTTAACCTTCCAAATTGATCGAGGAAAAGTAGTACACAAGATCCATCTTAAATACAAATAAACACAAAATAAAAAGGAAACATAATTATTTCACCATTGTTGCCGTCCTCGCCGTCGACTTCATCGCTGTCCATACAGCTACTGGAAGAAACTACGAATTCGAGTGCTACTGGAAGAAACTAGCTACTGGGTTGATCGTTGTTGGACGGCTTCTCATTCACCGGCGTCTGCACCGCAAAGAATCGACAAAAATCAGAGCTATCTGTGTTGAGAGTTGTTTGAGAGCTTCCCTCCTCTTTCCAGTCGTCTTCAAAATGGGGGGAAATGTGAAGAAAATGAGGGTTTTAATTTTGGGTCATTTTTTGCTTTTTTTTTTTTTTTTTAATTCAACGAGATTTTGAACCAAAATCTCACCACGTCATCATTATGGATTCCTTGATGTACCAATAGCTTTTTCCTTATTTTATCCATTCGAAAGAAGGGAAATAAACTCAATAAGGTATAAATCATCGTTTTGTTCATAAAGGATAGAAATATACCGATATGTATTACATGAATCTTTAAGTGTTTACAAAACGTCAAGCATTTTTGTATATTGCATTTGTCATAAAAATATAGTCAAATGGTATGCTAAAATAAGTTCAATTCTACTCGAAAGAGATTATTGGATAAGTTAGAAACATTGATTCTTCAACCAATTCATCGTGTTATCAAATTGTGAAATAGAGGCTAAAAGTGAACTTGCTTGATGATTCGGGATCCTAGTACGCCTTTTCATATATTACTTTCTCTAAACTTTTGCATTCAACCATTATTTTGCATTTAGAATAATTAATTCATCCATTATTTTTTACATTTAGTTAGTTACAACTTAGTTATAAAAATCAATCATATTTCATGTTTCGGTTAAGGTCGGAATATGTAAAATCAAACTAGTAAATCTCTGTGGGAACGATACTTGGACTCTAAAATCCATTTTATTACTTTAACGATCTGTACACTTGCGATAATTAAAGTTGAATACATTTTTGACGTGTTAAGTTTTTGGCGCCGTTGTCGGGGATTGACTTTCAGTTTGATTTTATTTACGTAGACACTAATTCGAACTTGTCTTTACTTTTTACTTTATTTTATTTTTTATTTTTACATATTATATTTAGCACTTCTATATAGATTAATCCAAGAACTACTATCATTTTTTTTCTTTCTTCTTTTAAGTTTACATGCTAAGGTCGCTTGGCGGTGAACTACTTCCAACGGACTTGGAGATTGAATGAACTTTTCATCGCTGGCAAAGGGAAGTTAGAGCAGCACAGCACAGAAATCAACTACCAATGGCAAATAAGCAGATTGAACCAATGGGAAATCCTGCAATTCCAGGCAATGCTGAGGAAGGAGAAGATGGAAATACACTGCTTGGGGATTTCTTATCACCCTTCGTTGTCCAGAGTCAATCCAACATCGTGTACCCTCCGTTCGAACAATCGAATTTCCAGCTAAAAACAAATGTCATCCAACTCTTCCAAAATGAGCATCAGTTCTACTGGTTGGCAAATGAAAATCCACACACACATATATCCCGGTTCTTGGATATGTGTCAACACTTAAGGTACCATGGAATATCGGAAGACGCTATTCGGCTTAGGTTGTTCCCACACACCCTACGAGATAAGGCACTTGAATGGTTGGATTCACTTCCTGTGGCAAGTATTACTACTTGGAATGATCTGGCTCACAAATTCTGCACTACATTTTTCTCTCCAGCCAAAGTAGCGGAGATAAGGCATGAAATATCAATCTTCAGTCAGGGTGAGTCGGAGTCATCTAATGAAGCTTGGAACAGGTTCAAAAACATGTTAAGGAAATGCCCCCAACATGGTTTCGATAAAAAGACACAGATCAAATTTTTCTACACAGGGCTACTTCCTTCTTTTAGGAGCATAGTGGATTCATCGTCCAATGGCTCTATAATCACAAGAACCATTGATGGAGCATGTGAATTGTTTGCGAGAATGAGGAACACTTCAGCAATGTGGTCTTCTGAGCTTGTGGGTACAAAGAAACCAGCCGGTGTCTATGAGGTTGACACCTACTCTGCCCTATTTGTGAAAATTGACTCTCAATTTCACAAAGTGGAAAGTATATCTCAACCTACAAGTGCAACACAATCAAGGAAGCTGAACTGTGAAGAGTGTGGAGCTGAGCATAGTATAGTTGAGTGCCCAATTCTTTCGCAGGGAATGGAACAAGTGGACTACACACAATGGGGTCAACGTCAGCAAAATAACCCACATTCAGACACTTACAATCCTGGATGGCGGCGAAACCATCCAAATTTCTCATGGGGAGGAAATCAAAACCAATATCACAACAGGTCTCAAGGACAGCACCAGTAGGAGAAGAAACTTCAATTGGAGGAGATGTTTGCCAAATTTATGGATAAGACCGACAAATACATGGAAACAACAAATCAGTTCATGAGAAAGACCGAAACAACTCTCGACAATCAGGGGGCTGCAATTAAGAACTTGGAGACACAAGTGGGACAAATAGCACTTTCTATGACAGGACGAGCTCCAGGTACACTACCGAGTAATACCGAAGTGAATCCCAGAGAACATGTCCAAGCCATCACTACAAGTAGCGGGGTTCAATTGCCTGAAATACATTAGAAGAGACCTGGTGCAAATAAAGAAACAATACCACCATTTGATGGAGATCTAGAGGAGCAGATTAAGCAACCTGGTGAATTATCTAAAAAAAGAACTTCAGATGTAGCGCGGGCTAAAGCCACCACACTAATAAATCCATATGAACCTCCGATTCCTTTTCCCCAGAGATTGAGAAAGCAAAAGCTGGACCTGCAATACATGAAATTTTTGGACATCTTCAAAAAGCTTCACATCAATATACCGTTGGCTGAAGTACTCATACAGATACCCAGTTATGCCAAATTCTTAAAGGAAATCATGCCCAACAAACGTAAGCTGGATGATCATGAAACGGTGATGTTGACAGAAGAATGCAGCGCAAGGATCCAGAACAAGCTTCCTCCAAAACTAAAAGATCCAGGGAGTTTTACTGTACCATGCACTATTGGAAATTATTTTTTTGAGTGCAAGTATTAATCTAATGCCACTTTCTTTTTTCAAGAAACTTGGATTGGGAGAAGCTAAACCAACCACGGTAACTCTGCAGCTTGCTGATAGGTCACTCACTTATCCACGGAGAATCATAGAAGACGTTTTGGTAAAAGTTGAGAAACTTATATTTCCTGCAGATTTCCTTATTCTTAACATGGAGGAAGATAAGAATGTACCCCTCATTTTGGGCCGACCATTTTTGGCTACTGGAAGGGCTCTAATTGATGTACATCGAGGTCAGCTAATTCTGAGATTAGGGGAAGAACAAGCTTCTTTCAACATTTTCAAAGCTATGAAATATCCTACAGAATCCG